CTTGAGAAAACCATTGATAGGTTTGTCTACCCTTAGAAGATCATTAATAGGTTATTGGGTAGTCTCTTGGAAATGAAGTAAAAATACTATTCGTTCGGTTTCAGCGGTTACCTCCAACTTCTTAGTCGTTATTTCCTATATTCAAGAACTTATGTAAAAATTATTAAGGCATGTATTGATCTTTATACCTTTTATATACTTGGGTGTTGAAGATTCTTTAGTAGTTGATCTTAACTTAATTATTTAAAAAAAAATATAGTGATATCTTTGTTCTTAAGAAAACCATTTATAGGTTTAGGCAGTCCTGTAAAAATCACAAGTGAAAATGCTATTATGTTCTGTTTCATGTTTATCTTCCGCTTGCATTTTGTGGTCTCATAACGGTGCAAACACAAGTATTTTCATGCACTATGAATTTTCTTTAGATTTCAAAGAGTGCATTAACTCACTGTAATTGCTTTATTATTTGGTACACTATATTCTTTATTTTTTTCACTAATGTATCAAATAAATGCTTCCCTACATTTGATGGGGCCTCATTTAAAAGTTATCTATTTCAACGATTTCAAGTGTGTGTGGTTCATAAATTCGTAAAATGAATAACATGTTTATTGATAGTTTAAAACCTAAAGAGTAATTTATTAATGTTTATCTATTTCATTTTACTTATTTTAACAAATTCATTAATTCCACCTAAACTTTATGTTTGCAAAACACACTTTAGGTGAATGATTAAGACAATCTCATTTATAAACCTATAAAGTTGTGTTTCAGTCAATTTGTACCTGTGCAGTTATCTAAACACTGGAGATTCTGAAGGAACAGACTGGTTACCACCAGAATGTGATGTGTCACTGAGGCCCGGATGGTTTTGGCATAAATCAGAAGCACCAAAGACACTTACTAAGCTCCTAGAGATTTACTACAATTCCGTCGGGAGGAATTGCTTGCTGTTGCTAAACGTGCCACCTAACACAAACGGATTAATATCGAAAAGTGATGTCATCAGACTAAAAGAGTTCAGAACGGCAATTGAGAGCATATTCTCAACAAATCTAGCTGAAAACTGTTCATTTAAAGTTAGTAGCCAAAGAGGAGATGTAAATAGCAGGTTTGGGCCTGAAAATGTGATGGACAAAGATCATTTATGGACTTATTGGGCTCCGACAGACGAATACACGGGACACCATTGGATCAAACTTAGCACGAAAATGGGAAAGTTCAGATTCAATGTGGTGCGGATCCAAGAAGCGGTTGGATTGGGGCAGAGGATTAAGCGACATGAGATTTACGTGGATGGAGTTAGCATTGTTAATGGTACCACTGTTGGTTACAAGAGGTTACATAGGCTTGAAAAGGGAGTTGTGGAAGGGCAAAGCGTGAAGATCAAGATAGTTGGATCACGAGCAACGCCTTTAATCTCGTCCATCGGTCTCCATTATGACCCATATTGGCATCCAATTGAGCAGCCTGCCTAACCAAGAAAACATAGGCTAATGTTTTATGTATCTCATCTGTTTTCTTGTTCAGGATATTATTTAGACTCTATTTGGGAAAACGAAAAGAATGTGATTTGGAGATGTGAATGTAAGTTTACAGTGGTAGTATTTTGATGTGTGACTATTCAGATTAAATATAATGTGCACTTTCTATAAGTGATAAGATTAATCAAATAAGTTTATTAGTTTTTATAAATGAAAACTGGACTCATATCTATATAGATATATATACCTTATGCACATTTTACAAAGTTGAAGGGAATGAAAACTTAGGCAAATAAACCTCCAAATATATTGTTTGAGTAAATATGATGTAAGGTAACACTTTCTCTCCTCATCTCACAACTTAATGCATCCAACAAAGGCTTTATTTCCTGCAACACAACTTCAGGCGATCCCCTTACACAAAACTCATGAACAACCCCATCAATTTCAATCATGCTGAGCCCAGGAGCTTCTTTCTCTATTCCTTTACTATTCATAAGACTTCTCACTTTCTTCACATGGTCAAACTTACCAGCCTTTCCATAAACATCACACAGGTTAACATAGAAAGCATGGTTCAAAGGTTGCATTGTAATCAATTGCTTTGCGACCTTCTCTCCCAATTCAAAATTCCTATGAATTTGACATCCACCCAGCAGTGCACCCCAAACGAACACATCGGGTTCCATTGGCATACCTCTGATAAGTCCTACAGCCTCGTCAAACAGTCCAGCCCGACCCAGTAGGTCAACAAAACAAGCGTAGTGTTGGATTTGTGGGTCTAGAGAATAAACACTCTTCATTGCATTGAAAAACCAACGGCCTTTCTCTACTAGCCCAGAATGGGCACAAACATATATCAGTGAAGTGAAGGTCACATGGTTTGGCTTTACACCTGCTGTTTCCATCTCTTTGAAAAGGTCAAAAGCTTTTTTGGCATTTCCATGGAGGGCGAAGACAGAAACCATGGAAGTCCATGCCAGAACGTCCTTCTTTATCATTTTGCTGAATATTTGGAATGCTCTGTCAACATACCCACATTTCCCATACATGTCCACTAAAGCTGTAGCGATTACTGTATCATATTCGATCCTCTTTCTTATTAAGAAACTATGGATCCACCTCCCGTGATCAATAGCTCCAAGAGAAGCGCAAGCTGAAACAACATTAGCGATTGTGATTTTGTCTGGGCAGATTTTATCACCATCTTCACCAGAAATCTGCATTTCATGGAACAATTCGAGAGCCTCCTTTTCTCTACTGCCCTGAACAAACCCCGTGATCATCGAATTCCAAGTGATGATATTCTTCTTCTTCATGCTCCTGAAAAGGTCCATTGCGAAATCAAGCTCTCCATTTCTCAAACACCCTACAATCATAGAATTCCATGACACTATATCTTTGTGCGGCATTTCGTAGAACACTTGTAGCGCACTGTTAATCAACCCACTTCCTGAATACAGACCAATCAATGTGTTTTGAGTGATAACATCACAGTGAAACCCGAACTTCAAAACATGCCCATGGATGCTTTGACCCGCAAACCTTTCACCAACCCTGTTAACGCATTCTTTCAACACGAAGGGCAAGGTAATAAAGTCCGGTGAAAATCCATCAAATAACAATCTTTTGTACAGCGCTAGTGCTTTGCAAGAAGCTGGGTCACTGTTCTTGGAAGCATGAGCTCTGATCATGGCATTGTATGTAAACAGACTTGGGCTAAAGATGAGTCTGAAAACAGTGTCGGCATAGCTAAGAGAGCCTGAGTTCGAGACAGTGCAGAAGAATATGAGGCGTGAAATGAGGTAACAACGATCGGTTGTTAACAGGAAAGGGGAAGTTATGATCTGGGTATGAATCGGTTTTAGTTCGTTCATGTTCCTGCAATTGTCTAGCAACCTTGTCAGTGTGTTCCTGAGATATAGCCGTTTGGATTCCATCGTTTTCCGGCAGGTAATGCGAAATAGTGACTACTGGGAGGATTGTGTGTGCCATAATTGGCTTTTACTTACAATCATGAACAATTTTATTCAATGTCCATGAACACCATTTGAATCATTTATTATGTTGGGGAATATGTTCTGTTAGTTTTTTTATTGCTTAGATTCTTAGAATGATAAGAAAACATGTGTTTATAAAAACAGAAAAACATGCCCAAATATACTTTTAGAATCTATTAACGAGCATAGTTTCTCTATTGATAAATTCACTTAGCTAACAAGTAGAGTGGTTCAAGTAGACCAATCGTGCACTTGCTATTCTCCCTGTATAGGAGATCTTATGTTCAGCTAGTGAATTTGAGAGGATTTTCTCAGACGATAATTCACTATCCATTGAGGCTAGATCGAGTTATCGTGCAATCATTGTTACGTCTCGCCTCAAACAACAGTTTGTGATTTATCTTCTTGTTAAGAACCCGCTAGTGTTTGACTAATTAGTGGCAATCCTCCCCATAAGTTGTGTTGGGAATCTAGGACACTCGCAACATATCAATCATGAGCAATTCCTTGTGCGTTGTGGTATATAAATAAAGTTGTATGAACTTGACAAATTGTTCGAGCGATTCAGATTTACATTTATCAAAAAATTGAGATAAGTTATTGAGATGGTAACAAAAACAGATAAATTCACTTCAGCCTTTATTGTTTATTGTAATTTGCTTATATTGGCTTTGGAAGTCTTAAGTTCAGACTGTTCCTCATCATGGGGTCTATCTTTTATGGTAAAATGCTTAAGATACCCCCAAAATGGGGTATCCCATTTTTATCCCACCTTAATGGGTGGCCATAAATAGGGCAACTAATTTAAGTGGGGCACCACTAGTCATGGACCCGGTTCAGGCCGCCCGGCCCGCCACAGTGCGGGCCCGGAACCGGCCCGGTTCTCGGGTCTGGGTCCGGGTCGGGCCTAGGCCCGGTGGGGGGCGGGTCCGGGCTCGGGCCTTGTATTTGGCGAACCGGCCGGGTCGGGCCCGGGTCCAGGCCAAAAACTATTTTTTTTTTCATTTTTTTGGGCTTTATTGAGTTGGGCTTGATGTTTAGGACCAGTTTGGGGTTTGGGGGGAGGGGGGAGGGGGGGAGAAAAGAATAGGAAAAAAAAACTAACCGGGTGGCCCGGCCGGAACCGGTGGCAACCGGTTCGGGCTCGGGCCCAACAAAACAGACCCGAGGTCCGGCCGGGCCCGAACCGGCCCGAGGTCATCCCTAGGCACCACTTAATGAGTTGTTCTATTTATGGCCACCCATTAGGGTGGGGTAAAAATGGGGTACCCATTTTGGGGTGGGAAATGCTTAGTGTACATGAGTTGTACACAAATTGTACACAAAACCCCCCTAGTTGTCTGTGTACACAGGCAATTCGTTTAAAAAGGGGCAGCACTTGATGTCAAATTGTCTGTGTACACAGGCAATGTACACATTTTGTGTACAACTTGTGTACACCAAGAATGATCCTTTTGGGTACCCATTCTGTAGAAAGAAGCACTGCCCATTTGGCCATTTGTCCACCCATTCATATGATCTAATATTATAATCACTTCTATACCAAAACAAAACGGTCATAAATACACAGAATCTTGAATAGTTTAGTCGGTTTTACTAAATATTGTGATTTGAACCGCTCAGGGTCACAAACGTAATACTTCTTCAAAATTGGACAAGCATAGATCTAGATGTGCCCTTATCCGTTTTTTTCAATAAGCTAAAACCGGTCTCGGTATACCCAGTTATAAGGTTCCTAAGGGAAGAAAAATGTTCTGCTAAAATCTGTTGTCTGTCGTCCTCTACCATTTGCGAACTTTTCCTATACCATCTGTCGTCCTCTGCTAAAATCTGTTGTCTGTTGTATATTGTTATTATTCCTTCACCATTTGCGAACTTTTCCTCTACCAAACTTGTAGTCACTTTGTCTATCAGAAAAGGTCCCTCTTCCACCCGAGAAACGAACACCGCCTCCTCTGCGATCAGAAAAGCCACTGCTGCGACCACTTCCGTTAGTTCCATATCTTCCACCCCGTGACTTGTCTCTTTCTTGCAACCTTGGCAATGCTTTTACAATCTCCAGCCTTATATCATATTCATTTTTCACACCTGCAAATAGAAGTACTTAAACTATTAATACACCTGGTAAAATAAACATCACGTATGAGTTAGTCTATCAGTCGTTCAAAAGGAGTCTAAGCAACAACTTTGGGTTTCACTCCAACGAGTAGTGAATTAACTTCGCATAAAGTTAACTAGAACAGAGCTAAAACCCATTGCATTTTAACAGCGTAGATGCTTAACAGCAACGTATAACTGCATTGTTATTCAAGCACAATGAATATAATCACAACAATGGAGCTAAAAAGAGACATGTATAAAAAAAATAAAAGAGACAGACCAGCTAGAAATGTTTCTACATCTTCAGCACACACATCAAACACTGCCCCACCCTCCACCGTCAATGTAAGGCCTTTGATCGACTCAACAATTACTTCAGGTAAGAACCTCTTCAAGGAACTATATACAAAGCTGCCATGAAGATGTTATTATCACATGAGCACATGAACAAACAGAATCAAAAGTAATTGGAAAAAAAAATGTGGTGGCATCTTTCTTTGGACCATTTTTAGAAAGAAAAACGTGAATGCTTACGAAGGTGAATACACAGGCCCCCCACTCACAAGATGTAGAGTTACATAGTTCTCCATTGAAGTAAGAAGTGAGCGCCTCTTCATCTCCGTATACCCCTGAATACAATGCCATAAGACTTTCATTTATCAGCTAGATATTACAGCGAATTTGAGACTGGTATAGTCCTACAACTCTACAAGGTTAACTTTTTGGAATGGAAATTCAAATCTTAATATGGTAATCAAACTCAAAGAAACACTAAGAGCAAAAAATAACAGAAAATTGAACTGCTCATCTTATAAGTTGACCTTTTAGGAATCTTAACAACACATACACTAACCATAAATGTGGGAAGTTGTGGACCCAGTAGGTGACTTAGTCCGCCCTAACTTCTAGGATGAATCCTCAAAGCTTGATAATTTCATGAACATAACAACAAGGCAGCCAAAAGCAAGAACTTACTGATGCTTTTGCAAGTGCCTTTGCAAGTAGTTCTACAGCAGAGAGATTGGAGGTATTCATCAAATTCTCAGCTGCTGCTATGAAGGCAGGTATAACACTTGCATATTTAAAAAGTAAATTAGATATTGAAATTGTGAAACATACAGCATTTATTAGAAACTGCCTATTAAAGAAGATTATTTTTGCTATTTACCTATTAGAGATTGCAGCAATTTCTTCTGCTGCTTCTATGCCAACAATTTTGGCAACGTCAGCTGGTTGTGGAGCAGCTACTTGCTCAAATTTCACACCAGATTCCTTTTCAATCTTTGAAATATTTGACTTTTTTGGATCGTAAAACATGACAGCAACCCCACTATTACCTAGTTAAATGACAGCACCAGATATTAGGTAATATCCTTTTGGGATAACTTAGGTTTGATTTAACATATTGCAATTGAAAAACAAAAACAACAAGGTTTGTAACTAACCTGCCCTTCCGGTCCTTCCAGATCGATGAATATAATCCTCCGCATCACGTGGAGGTTCACACTAAAAAGTACTGTGAATGTCAGTATATTAAAGCATAACAATTGTTTACGAACTCAACATCATTAATAAGAAATAACAAAACAAAACATACCTGGATTACAAGCGCGACATCAATGTCTAGTCCACGAGCTGCCACATTTGTCGCCACTAAGGTCATGAACTGGCCTAATCTGAATCCAGAAAGTGTAACCTAAAAAGGAAAGTGCCAGTCATTGGAAATCAGTTCTTTGATCAATATGATTAAAGCTAAGACACACTTTCTGGTCTGGAAAAAAACACTTAAAAACTAACAAAAAAGGATGAGGTAACAACATTGTCATGATTACGTCAAAATTAAAGAAATTGTTGCAAAAAGTAAAACATGAGTCATCTGCAGAAACAGAAATGTCCTTGTATCTCAAAAAATAGGACGTTCATCGTAATAACAGAATAAAAGTAGTTAAACTTTCTCTTTTGAGGAAGCTGTGAATAGTTAATATTTGCAGGAAATAATTATAGTAGTCCCGTTTCAGAAAATGTGTATGCTTTGTTCCTACTTCCTATTAATGTAATTATAAAAAATAATCACCCACAAAAAAAAACATTACCTCACGTTGGGCCTGTTGTATATCACCATGTAAAGGACGAGCACCAGGCAGCAAGGCAGCGAGCTCAGAAGCATAATCCTTTGTTTCAGTGAAAACAATAGTGCGACCCCCACTATAATAATAATAGTAGTAGTAATAATAACATGAAAATGAAAAAACATTACGTTCAAGAGCTTCTGTCATTTCTCGCAAGACTAAGGGTTTGTTAGGAACTAGGACAATGCCTCAAAATGAAAATAGAGAAAAAGTTATAGAAGAAATTTACAAAGAAAAAAACATTGAGGAGAATAAAATATAAGTTTAAACTCAATAAATAAAGGCTTATTATTTGTCAACATACCCTTTTTAAAATTTATTTCTATTATATAAATACTCAGAAAATCAGAAATATAAACATATGAAAAACAAATTGAAACATTCATCATATTAATTTTTCTTTTCATTTTCTGTGGTAAATCTAAACCTAAGCAAATAAATTTCCGTAGCTTTTTTTATTTCCATAGCATTTTCCAGGATCCTAAGATAGCCTAAATGGATGCACCAATGGGAAAAAGAAGCAACCAACCTGTTATAGCACCGAATGATATCAGGAATAAGATGAGATCTGGCTGAACTAGAGCAAGGAATGATCAAATGCCTTACACTAGTGCTGGCCTTCATTCTCTCATTTCCAACAATGTCTATGGTTCTCTTATCAGGTTTGAGAAACTTAGCCGCAATCTATCATATCAAATATATCTTTTGTTCAGAGATCAAAATGATTAAATGAAAACAAAAAACAAAAACAAACACGCACACACACACACAAAATTGAGAGTAGCCCACGTCTTTATGCCAAGGTCCCATTTGGGGTAGTTGTGAGTTTCCATTTTCAATGTGTTTTTGAAAACTTAATACCAGATTTGGAAAATCCAAGAAATGGTTTTCTAATTAATGTTGGCTGATTTCAAATTGGGAAAAAGGTCAAATAGGGCCTCGAACTTACATAAAAAGGTCAAATAAGGCCTTATATAGGAGGCTCTGTCCGGCCGTCGCCATTTGGGGCGGTTCCCCGTGGAATTTTTTGATGAAATTTTTTTAGCATCTTATTCAATAAGTCTAGTTTACTCATACCAAATTTCAGCTAAAACTTCAATCGGGAAGGCAATCAAATAAATTCTTGAAGGTAACTGCGCTTTTAATTGCACAGTTATCTTCAAGAATTCATTTGGATGTCTTCCCGATTGATTTTTTAATTCAAATTTGGTATGAGTAAAATAGACGTAATGAATAAGATGCTCAAAAAAAATCATCAAAAAATTCCACCGGGAACCGCCCTAAATGGCGACGGGCCGAACAGAGTCTCCTATATAAGGCCTTATTTGACCTTTTTATGTAAGTTCGAGGCCCTATCTGACCCTTTTCCCTTTCAAATTTAACATGATTAGTTTAAGTACGAAAAGCTTTGTTTTATTATACAATGTCTATCGTGTAAGTTTTAAAATCATAAACAAAAAATTATCAACTCATCCCCCGAAGGCCCGAACAGAGCCAGCATTATACGATGGTTTATAACTTTATATTGTATTTTAAAGAAGAAACACAACAAAAAATATGGTGATGAACCAACATGTTTCACCCAATCTGGCAAAGTAGCACTGAAAAGAAGTGTTTGAACTTGTCTTTGATCTTCTACCTTCCCTTTCAATTTAAAATAAAAGGCATTAGAAGAGAATGAGAAATCATTAGTAATTAATTATTATTAAACAAATAACCTCTGAAATAATGATACTTTTAACTGCAAGTAAATACCTAGAATAAATTCAACATCCTCAACGAAACCAATTCTCAGCATTTCATCAACTTCATCAAGGACACGAAACTGTAGAGAGGCCAAATCAATATTTCCTTTCTGTATGAGATCCTGCATGAGGGAGTTAAGTGCACAGTTACACTCGAGAAAAACTCTACAAATAAATGTCAAATCAATTAATAATAATAAGAAGAAGAAGCTAAGTATAGGATTAAACCAAATAAATATAACCTTGATTCTCCCAGGAGCACCCACTATAATATCAACCCCTCTTTTCAATTTAATTTGTTGGGGAGCATAGGGAGAGCTTCCATACAAACAGCATGATGACAGCCCCAATGCACCGCCATAAAATTCAAAATCAGCAAAAACCTGTTTATCATCAAGAACTAGAAACGCTTACAAACCCTTTAAAGAATGAAACTAAAGGTGCGTTTGGGTGGGGAAAAGGAACCTGAAGAGCCAATTCTCTAGTGGGTAAGAGAACTAGAACACTTGGAGCTCTCCCATATCCAGTCTTTCTTGTGGCTGTGGCAGGTCCGTTTGTTAAAGACTCCAAAATAGGCAAGATAAAGGCCAAGGTTTTGCCCTGTGAATTTGGTGGTGGAATGGAGGAACTATAAACTAGAAATGTGGTTGGCGAGTTAAATTTAACAGTGCTAATAAAAGTCAACGCTTAACACATGATAAGAATTACAGTTTCTTTAAAAGATAAACTTAATTCATCAAAACAATATATAATCATAATCAAAGTACATATTATTATAAACTATAATAAGTGAGACAGACACAAAGCACCCAACAAGACCTCCAAATCCTTAAAAACAAATGGAAGGTTCCACTAGCATTGCTAAAATGTTGCTTCAAGAATGCCAACAAACATAAAAACCGGTTTGATCAGCTCCGATTATACCGAATATACATGCGACAAGAAAGAAATATTACTCTGGTTTGACCAGCCACTATCAAGACCTGATTTTAAAATTTTAAAGTATGTAAGATATTTCTCAAAAAAAAAAGTATGTAAGATATTATAAATATATAAATATAAAATATAAAATATATACAGAATATGAAATATATAAATAAAGAGAGTAAAGAAAGGTCAATATAACTGAAAATGAAAATTAAATATAAATTCCAAGTTAAGAAAAGTAAAACCTAGAATGTTAAAATTAAGAAAGTACAAGATATAAAAAAATCTAAATAATAAAAAGTTTTAAAGCTGATTATCCTAAAATATCACGTCACTTTAAAATAAGTAAAAAAATCAATACAAAGACATGAATATGTAAAGAACCCCAAAAATAAATATTTATAAAAATTAGAAACAATTTTTCCTGATAATAAAAATATGAGGTAAAAATTAAAATGTAATACAGAGTATATTTGTAAACATGGCAAGTTTTTAGATTTAGTTAAATTTACATATAATAACATTCTAATTTGAAATTTATATAAGTTTCTCTAAGTATTGTAAAGAAAATCAAGTTGACTACTGGGATTATTAAAAGAAGAGTGAACTTAGTTCAGATTATTTATAAAATACGCTTAGTTCTATTTAAAATTGACTTGCTATAGCAGGTTATGTCCGGTCATGAACAATTATAGCGGACGGACCATAGTTGGGATTATGGATAAATAATCGTTAGGATTATTATTTTCAATTTTTTCCTAGCAATTATTGATCTAGTTTTTGAACACCCAGTCATGCATTCCTAACATTCTAAGAACCAAATCAATCTGGTTGGTGGGTTTTTTAAAGGAATCCGGTTCGTGATTATGTAATATTAACACTAACAACAACATCAATATATAAAACAAAAAAATAACAACTCACAATAACTAGTATCTTCCGTATAGCAGTCATCCGATTATCCCATTTCTGATATCCTAAATTAAACATCATTTGGTTCAAGCCCAACATTAACTTTGTCCTCTTTCACACTCAAAAACACATTTTTAGTGAGAATTTATAGTTTTACTAATAAAAACCATAAAAAGAATTGTGTTATTCGATTGAAGTCTCAGTTTTAATCTTAATCTCACACAAGCTTAATTATGACCATATTAGTAGCCAATTAATTGGACTAAGCAAGCTGTAAGAATCGCCAAGTAATTGGGCAGAGTTGCTAAAGGAGTACTCGACATAATACTTGCATACGATCTACGATAATGGGTGGCATTGTGCACCCGGATTTCATACCTGACCAGTCCGAGCACGTCCAACCAAATCGCACCCATCCAAAATGGTATCGAAAGTGGTGGCTTGAATAGGAAACAGTGATTCAATTCCCTTCGCCTTCAACGCCTCTCTCAGTGGATCCGAAATCCGAAAATTGGAAATCGAATTCGGGTTCTCCTCCGCCTCAGCCCCATTCTCGAGCACCTCCGCAAATTGAGGGTCATTGTTCCTCTTCTCAACCATACAACTCATCTGCTCCGCCAACTCCGAGCTCTTCGCACTCCCTCCTCCCCCACAGTTATCAATTCATCCCTTCTCCGATTCATTCTCAGAAATTCCATTTCCGTTTCTTTGACTTCTTCTCGTTCTTTTTTTATTTTGAAGGGGTTGCTTTGCCCAAACTATTAACAATTTTAGTAGGGAAATACTAAAATCGCTGCTCAGTGCTCACCTGAGTACCTGACTCACCACACCCAACCCACGTCGAACATTTTTTTAATTGTCTAAGTCCGTTTGGCCACACTATTAACAATTTTAGTAGGGTAATTTTTTCACCAATTATATAACTTTTGTTTCCGCACGCTGAATTGTGTAATAAGCAACTAAAGTAAGGTTGAAGTTACTTTTCTGACTGTATTGGCTGAAGTTCCTGTAGATGACCACTTTAGCTATTTTACATATAATTTTTTCTTTATATTATTAATAAAATATATTTTAAAAATAATTTTTTCTTAAATCATCAAAATCAGCCAATGCAGCCACTTCAGCCAGAACTTTATAAATTTCAGCAGAATCAGCCAAATCGGCCTATTTTTGTGCTACCAAACGGGCTCCTAATGTTTTAAATTTTTGGGAATTTTTCACAAAGAGACAAAAAAGTGAAAGTAATATCACTTTTGTCACCTTACGGCTTACAAAATACTTTTCAAAAATAGACCAACTCGGCTCTTTCTTTCAAAAATAAACTACGTATTGAACTAACGTACCGGAATCTGTATTGAACCAACGTGCATGGATACTAGGCTACTTCTTTCACACTGCACACTTTGTTAAATTTATATAGACTCGAAGAATTATTCAATTCATGTTTTTTAAAATAAAAAAAATGAATTTATACAGTAAAAGAGATCATGATAATTAGAAAATAATGAAAATATTAAAAATTAGATATCAATAATAAATAATCAAATAATCAAATCACATAATGCATAATAAAGAATCGAGGTCGAAAACTAATAATAAGCTGGATTTAAAAAACAGAATATATATTAAAAATTAAATCAGAGATATGAAACGTATACAATTTTGAAAAAACAAAACTCAAAAGTAAAAATAAGAAAATTTTAATATAGTTTATGAAGTGGAAAATATGTAGAAATATAACAATTTATGTAATTTTATTCCTTAAAGACTTCATATACACTATGATTTGTACTTAAAGCAATAAAAATTATAAATAACTGATTTTTTTATATAATTAATTTAAAAATTCAAATATATAAATAAAAAAGTGAAAAGAAATCTTAGAAAAAGAAAAAATGAAATTAAACTCTGTAATATTTGGAATTTTAAAAATAATAAAAATGGTTTTGAAGATTACAAAATATTTGAAAATATTACAAATTATCTTAGGCAATTATAAAATATTATGAAATTGTTATTATTTTAGAAACCAATATACATACAAAGTATAACAAATATATAGATTTAAAAAAAAATCAAAAAAAACAAAATACTATAACATAAAATGTAAATATGAAATTGTTTTAAAAATTAAAAAGAAATAAATTTAATTAAACTAAAAAGTATGAAAAATACAAACTTGAAAATAAAGTTGTGAAAAATAAAAATTGAATTCGAAATAGAATTTAATGTTGACAAATTTTAAAATTTTACAAATATGAAAAATACTTTTTAGATAGATTTGTTGTTTGATTCTGTTGCATATTGTTTTTTCTTGTTTCTTTTTGTTGATAACTCTAAAAGTTTTGTTTTATATTGTTTCTTTATGTTTCCTCAAGTTGGTTTGTATATAAATTATATACAGAAAGTCAAATTTATTATTTTACCTGATTGAATTTGAATCTATATATGATTTGTTTTACTTTAAAGAAGTAGCAACGTTAAATAAAAATCTAAATATACAAAAATCAATAACAATTCAACAAAAAAACAAAAATAAGTAATACATTGCAACAAATAGCAACACAATGAAACAAAAAACAACAACATGCAACAAAAAGCAACACATTCAATACAACAAAAAGCAACAAAAAAAACAATGTATGAAAGTATCACAACAACCATGTAGTTCAATCTAGTATTTCAATGTATTACATATATCCCATTTTTTCATACATATGCATAAACAACCTGTAACCTTCTTCAACTTCACCAACTTATGTAAACTTGTGGATAAGGATGTTGTATGTCTTCATATTGCCGGGGAAAACATTTGCAAACATTTCATCCCATCGCAGTTTTGCAGGCCTCACTAAATATTCACTATAGCAGGCTTCTAGATCATAAGCTTTTCATTTCACAAAGAAGATCATAAGCTTCCTTTACTTTACCCACTTGGCACAAAGTGTGATCATCACTTTCTAACTTTGTTGATCTGTAAAATATGCTATAGTCTAGCAGACATCTTCTAAAAAACCACAACTAACATTTCAACATTATCACGCTTGCTAAGGTTCATAGTACTTCCTACCCATATAGTTCAAAGTGAGAAGGGTGGGAAATACATTTTTTCAACCATGAGTAGATTATTATCCATGGGAAAATTCCCATTTATGATTACTTCTCCCAACTCTTATGCATCTAATATTAGTCTTTCTGAAATCAAGCTAAATTAAAAATGAATTCTTTATAATCATTGGATCTAGGTGCAACTCTCAGCTTCCTTTTTTTCTTCAGTACCATTTCTACATCGACCACATTTCCCATTCCTCTCAATGCTTCTGAAACAACCCCGTATGCTATAAAATCGGGTTTATAGTCTCTTTTCCTCAACTCATCCAAAGCGACAACTGGCAGTTTAGATGATCTGCCATTACATTGACCTGCCCAAGCTGCCTGTGATGTCATATCTACTAGTAGAGATTACACTTCTCATCTAATAAAACAATAGCTAGTCATCAACACTTCCAAATTGAAGCTAAGAATATAAATTAAAACTCCTAATCCAAAAAAGATTTTAAACTAGAAGACTGCAAATACAATCTTCAGAGGCCATTCTTTACGCCAATCCTTATATTCTGCACATTTATTGACAATTTTTATCTATGGTCTTCTATATCCTTCAAATGCAAAAACTCCTTCTGCCTATGAAATTTATGCAGAAACTCAAAGGTCATCTATTAGTTTCCAGATTTTGTAAGGTTTTCTTTATGAATCGCCTAATACGGAGTTGAACATTTTATCTTCATATTAAAGTTCTATTTGAATACTAAAACTGCAGAGCACATTTGAAGGATAAACTGAAAGTTGTTTCAGAAACTATTGATACTAATATGGTAAATTAATTTTCAAAATGTTTGAATAGAATCTCCGACAAATCAAAACCGATCAAAACAAGCTTATATTCAAGCAATCCAACCGTAAAACTTCATAAGAACTCAAATTACTTCAAAGCACTATCAACAAGCGCAGGTTTGACGCAATTTACGGAGAAGAGGAATTTAAAAACTTCTAAATACCTTATGAACTTATTCATTCAAAAATAGGATGAAGGGCTCGATATCGAAGGAAAGCTCTCGCCTAGACGTTGGAGGAAGATACTTTCTCAGATCTGCGTCAGAAAGTTCAACTCGGCAACCTGTGTAACCGTAACTGTAGTGCAACAAATTAGCAAATCGGCGTAGAAAGCTCTGGCCGGGACGAAGGAGGTATATCCATTCTCTCATCTGCATAGGAAAACTTGGTGATGCCCAATTTCGACCATGGAATCCCCTTCGTCATTCGCTCGCTCTCGAAGCCTTCCAACGACGGGAATGCTTCTCTCTGTTATGCTCCGTATTATTTTGTTATCTACGGAGGAGGTGCGAAACAGATCCAGAATTGAAATAAAAAAAACATTATTGAAATTACAAAAGATTAAAATTGAAAAGAAGAAATAAGTGGAACATAAATGATATGTGGGGCATAAAAGTGTACCATACGAGTAATTTCCACTAAATTTTTAGACATTTTAAAAATAAAATATATTTTAAATATTGTGTTACTTGTACTTCATTATTTAACACGTTTTTATTTGAATTATTTTTAGTATCATACTAGACCAGACATAAATATATTAGATCAAATCAGACTTAAATAGGTTGAATCAGATTTCGACAATTGTAAAATACACATAGATCACATCCATTCAGATCAAATCAATTTAAACCATACCAGATCAGATTTGACCATAGCATAAAAGAAAATTTTAGAAAAAGTGGCATAGATATTACACCCCAACTTTCATTGGAGAAAAATGACCCTTTTAAAAATTGACAGAAAAGTTATCCATCATGCTTCTCTCTTCCGTCCAAACAGCTCCAACCAAGCTCCCCTTCTCTCGTCCGTCTTTCGGCACCGACTAACTCTACATTACAAAGGAGGAATCATCGTTGAATCCGATTGCAGCGCTGATGGGGTGGACCATGTTGTGCCAGTGGTCGGGAATCTAGGACATCCATCCGCCTTCTTCATTGCTGCGCCGCGCAGGATTTTGAATTGCAGGCCAAAATCTCTTCTCCTTCCCCCGAAAGTATTTTAAAATGATCAAAATATTACTACCTCCGTCTCGTTGGAAGGTTCCCATATCAAAAAGTATTTTAATTATTTATGTGATAATTAAATAAACTACTTCGAGTATATTTTGAGAAATAATTTTAATATACATTATAATGTAGTTATTATTGATAACTGTGATGTTATAAATGTATTATTTTTAACATTTAATGATTAATTTTTCACTTAAAATTGTTAATTGTTTCCAAAAATGGAAATGGGAACCTTCTAATGGGATGTCCAAAAAAAAGTGGAAACCTTCTAATGGGACTGGAGGAGTATATTTTTAAAGGTCACTAATGCTCAATCCGTATGTGTTAATCTTCAAGTATGGATTTGTCATTTATATAGAGAAACTAATCAGGTGGCTCATTCCTTGACAAAACGGTTTGAATTCAAACGGGCTTCAGTGCTTTCTGGAATAGGAGTGAATTGTCTATTGTTATTCTCGCTTAGCTTGATTTAGAAGTTGAGGCTATCCCGCACTTTAGATATTAGCTTTATTTTTATGTATTTCTGATAAATGTTGAAAAAAATGATTAAATTATTATTTCTATAATTCCAAAGGGAAAAAGTATCCCAACAAAATGAAAAGCGTGGAGACAGTTTCAGAGGAATTTC